GCCAGGGCGTGTGCAGGAGGCAACCAATCCATGTGTTTCTCGCACATCGATGTTTTTCTCTGTCTTTCCCTCTCTTCCACTCTCTCTAAAAATCAATGGAAAAATAGCCTCAGGTGAGGATTAAGAAAAAAAAAATCTCAGGATAACCTTTTTAAAGGAGATATCACATACAGAGAGAAAAGTAAACAAATCTTGAAAATATCACTTGATGAATTTTCCAAAACTGAACAAAGCCATGTCACCAACTTCCCAGGACAAGCATCACAATAGTACCAGCATTCCAGGAAATCTTTGTGCCTTTCCCAGGTATTAACATCCAGAAGGTTAGCCATTGTCCTCACTTCTAACCCCATCGATGAACTTGGCCTACTTCTGAGCCTTGTATGAATAGAATTACATTGTATGTTCTCTTGTAACCCACTTCCTTTCACCTAACTTTGTGGGAGATCCATCACGTTGTGGCAAGTGGCAACCGTATTCTCAAATCTGTTGTTTGCTACATTCACATCGATACGCTATACCTATACCCGAGCTACTGAGGAAGAGTTCCTTCTCTGAACACATGTTGTAAAAAATGAAACAAGTCACTCTAGGACAGTGGTTCTCAACCTTCTGGCCCTTTAAATACAGTTCCTCATGTTGTGACCCAACCATAAAATTATTTCCGTTGCTACTTCATAACTGTAATGTTGCTACTGTTATGAATCATCATGTAAATATCTGATATGCAGGATGGTCTTAGGCGACCCCTGTGAAAGGGTCGTTCGACCGCCAAAGGGGTCGCGACCCACAGGTTGAGAACCGCTGCTCTAGGACCTTGTTAGAGCTATGAAGGGACTTTTATAGTTAAAAGATTTTCCTAAACATTTTCTCATTTTATCCTCTCCTAACCCATGTCAGGTAGTTAGGAGAGGTAATTCCCATTTGGTTAGATTTAGAAACAGAGGGTGCTTGCAGGTGTGCGAGCGCATATCATTATACAATTGAGATTTCAGCTGAGGTGCCTTGATTGGCAATATGATGCTGAATGCACACTGTGGTGCGCCTCTCTGGGTCAAAAGTCCTTTCAAAGGAAAAGTAAACCAGTCCCTAAGGTTGTTTGCCTTGAGTATGTCATACTGCTGTGTGCATTCAACGTTTCCCTCCTCAGAATTCATTTTCTTTCTTATTCTGGGATCCACCTTTCCCCTTCTTGATCCCAAGATTGAGGAGGGCTCCATTCCCGGCAGGGAAACATAGGTCCTGGGGTCTCACATGCAACCTTGAGGGGGCTCGGGAATGCACTGCCATGAAGGGTGCAAAACCAAGAGAAAAAGAGCAAGAAGTCATTTCAGTTTCTGGAACAAGCCACACCCGAAACCCAGTACCTCTGAACTATTTATTGCATGAAGCCATGCATGTATATATTTATCTTTGCTCAAAGTAGCTTGTGTTAGTTTTTTTTTTTTAATTCTTTCTTTACTTACAAAATAAAAAATCCTGAAAGATACATTTATTTAAATCCTCACATTTCTCCTCCCCAATTCAAGGAGCCATAGCGCCCTTATCCAGTGAGTGGCAGCTATGCAGACGTGGAGGTTGTGTCTTGAATTTATGCAAAGTTGCTCTCCTCAGTTCTCCCGAAGTGAAGTCACTGTGTTGACACAGACAGCGTCTGTTTTTAAACCATAGAAATGTTGGCTTTGCCTTGTACTCGGAAAGGGTCTATACCACCCACATCGACCATTCCTGCCATAGATGCTCACGTAGCCTCGCCCGGGAAGGCAAGGCTAAGGGGGGCAAAGATATTGTCAAGGGGCAGGGGAAACTCCTCCAAACAACAACAGAACTCAAACAGTTTTTGTCCAAAGGCTTTTGGAATTGTTTCCTTTCTAGCCAGTGTATCATCTACACTCTCCTCAGAACATTCTCCCTAGGACAGAGATTTATTCATTCATCTCTGCACGTTAGAAACCCATCACGGGGAGGTGGGGGGTGTGGGGTGGGGAGAGTAACTGCAGGGGAGAATCCTGACAGCATGCCTCAGCCAGGTGAGCAAGGCCGGGAGTCACGCTGAGATGCGTGCGCCCGAGATGATGTGGTGAGAAGGGGGCTTTACCGCTGTGGTCCGCCTCCCGTAAACCAAACCCCCGTCTAATCAGGAGAAAAAGGTCAGACAAATCCCAGAAGATGGGCAACCTATGAGAAAGCAGACCCGTGCTCCTCAAAAGCATCAAGATCTTCACAGCAAGGGTGGTGTAGAAACTCACAGCCAAGAGGAGCCTAAGGAGGCGTGCCATCTAGGTGGAATGTGGTGCCTGGGGGAGACCCTGGGGGGACTAAGGGAATCTGGTAGGCAAGACTAAGGGAACCAGAGTGCAGTGTGCACTTAGTTAATGACCATGTACCAATGGTGCTTTCATTGGTGAGCCCTTACTCATGAAAGGTCTAATAACAGAGGAAACGGTACGTTGGGCAGGGGGAGCTTATCTGAGAACTCGCTGAACCACCTGATCAATTTTTTTGAAAATCTAAGACTGTTCTAAAAATAAAGTCTATTTAAAAAAAAAGAAGTTTATTTAAAAGTCCATCACTGGATTTCTATTGCTGCAGGAGGCTCTCCTAAAATTCAGAGACCCCAGTGGGTCCTTGCAATGATTTTAGGTAGTTCACGTACAGAGTCTTAAACAACCCTGAACCCCGTGGTTAAATGTTCCTTCAGCGAGCACTTCTGAGTCCTGATTCAGTAAGAACGAGGGAGTCCCCGTTTAGCCCTGGAAACACTCCTCTAACCATTGCCAGCCTCCCTTGGAGCAAAGAGAAAGCGTCAGGCTCCGAACTTTGTCCTCGTTTTATTGTTCTCCTATTTGGTGCTGTCTGTGCACTGAAAATGACCCTACTTTCTCCTTTCTGATACTGGGATTTCTTTACATAAAGTAAACTTATTAAAATAAAAATGTGAGCCTGTTTCGTTTCTTAAAATTACTTACCTACAACGACATACTGTCTTCAGACATAAAAAAAACAGGAAAGTGGTATTCTAATGACTGACGATGGGAACCTGTGGCCAACAGCATTCCGCCCACACCCCTCAGCAGGGCACTCAAGCCCTCTCCCACCTGGGGCCACCTGTCCAGTCTCTTGTCCCAGCTGCTCCACCCTGCAAACCCAAGGATGCTAGGAGGTCAGAGGTGCTACTGCCCAGGGCTCAGAAGAAACCAGAGGGACGCATGGATAGCAAGTTTAAATCCACGTACAGCTTTGTTGGGACTCTCTTTCACAGCTGGCTTCATTTCTTTGGGATCCCTGGCCATTCTCCCATAATATGGGTCAGCTGTTATTGCTGAAGCAACCAATTCCTTTAGCCCCTGTGAGCTCTATAGGTGTGTTAGAGACCAAACCTACTTCAGGGAAGCCTTGCTGGGTGGGTGCCCGTGGGACCTGAACCCCAGCCCCATACGTCCCCTCCCATCTGAACTCGGGCCCGATGCATCCCCGAAGCGGAGGAGCTTGCTGAGCTCTAGGTCCAAAACCTGACTCCACCATGGACCATCTAGGGCAGTGGTTCTCAACCTTCCTAATGCCGCGACCCTTTAATGCAGTTCCTCATGTTGTGGTGACCCCCAACCATAAAATTATTTTCGTTGCTACTTCATAACTGTAATTTTGCTACTGTTATGAATCGTAATGTAAATATCTGATATGCAGGATGTATTTTCATTGTTACAAATTGAACATAATTAAAGCATAGTGATTAATCACAAAAACAATATGTGATTATATATGTGTTTTCCGATGGTCTTAAGCGACCCCTGTGAAAGGGTCGTTCGACCCCCAAAGGGGTCGCAACCCACAGGTTGGCGACCCACAGGTTGAGAACCGCTGATCTAGGGGGACTTGGTGAGACATGTAAGCTCCCTGGACCCCCCTCTTCCTTGTCTGTGGGAATAATAACAGTTCCTACCTCCTGGGGTTACTTTGAGGGTAAATGAGTTCATGTAAGCACAGCACTTACCGCAACGTGTAGCATGGACGTCCTCTATAAACACCGCTGTTGCTGGTCATCTCTGCAGTCCCCACTCCCCTCACTGTCAAACGTGGGGTGTGGCAGTGCCCACCTCCTGGGACTGTTGTCTGGAATAAACGAGCTGATGCACATTAGTCCTCAGTGCCGTGGCCTGGCTCCTAGCAAATGCTCACTTTCAGTCATGTTTGTCCATATGTACTTATTCGTAGTAGGATATTCATATGGACTAGCAATTCCAAGAATTAGAATGTCTCTCCAGTCTTTTGCAACAGCAGTTCATAGATACTAGGAGCAGTCAAGGTCGATTTGCAAGGTCAGACCTCGGGTGCACCCAAATCAAATCTGTGTGGCGGGACTAGCCATTGCTTCTGCCCGCCCAGCGTCCTTGTCCTTCTGTCCTAGAAGACAGCCCACTTCCCCTCTTTGGAAACTGCCCCTCCCACATCCATGAGGCCTGTCAATCACTAGGCCTCACCCTCCCAACTCCCTTAATAAGGTAATTGGATGCATGATCCAAATGAGCCAGTGAGAGTCTCTTTAGGGGGCTGATAGGGATTTGGGGGAGAGAGGGGGTCTCCTCTAAAATCCAAAGCTGTTGGGAGTCAACTTTGCCGCCAAGTGAAGAGAACCTAGCAGAGAGTGGCGTCAAGGCCATGGAAAGTGCTGAGGACACAGGGAGAAAAGGAGGAATGGAGAAAGAGAGGGACAGAGGGAGAGAGGTGAAAGGGAAGCACTGAGAGAGAGACAGGCAAAGAGGGAAGAGGGAGGGAAGGAAGACAGGAGATACCGCCAATGACTCCATTTTTTAATAAGAACCTCTAGATCCAGCTATGCATGAAAGGGAAATTTACGCCTTGGCTGTTCATAACTCCTCTTTTCCTTTTTTAAAATTTTTCTTCAAGTCCATAGGTTCTTCAAATGGGGACCCAAGAAAATGAGAAACCACCACCACTGGAGCATTTATTAGAGATGGAATGAGCTCACTTCAGAAAGAAACAAAGTTTATTTGATGAATATAAATAAGGCGATCAGCACAAAGTACTTCTCATACACATGGTAACAAATTTATGAACTGTACAGACCTTGTACGTTGTACTTCTACTAGACACGAGGTTACAATGACTGGCTAATACATGCCCACTGGGAGTTTCGGAGGGTTCCTTAGTTTTACTGATTTATTTATTTCATATCGAAGTCCATAATCACATGGTCAATATCACAACCCACATGCCACTCACTTGAGGAAATATTACAAGAAGCACTATCGAACGAGGGTCTCTGGGAAGCAGATACACTGACCCCTGGCAGCATTCAAACGCCACTCGACACAAAAACTTCTCAGATAGAACTTATGTCAACACTTTGGAGGTCTCGTCATAAACACTGTTTAAAAAGTAAATTGAACCCCACTTCCAAATGAAAGTTGACACGCTGTTCACGTGCATACTGGATACACAAAAATCATTAAATACAAAATTGAGACTGTACATGGAAATCAAATTGGGCATCAAGGACAAGTCTGCTTTTGCGCAAAGCAAGACCAACTTCTCCCAAATGGTAGCCTCAACTTCTCTTTTTCCCAACGTCATTAGAATGAGAGGGGGACCTGCTAGAGTTCGTGCAAAGGAAAGAGCTTCCCAACATCACAGTGTTTGTTGTAAACCCAGAGACTATTTTTAATATGTGAAAAGGGAGATTTTTTTGTTAACCCCCAAACATCAGGAATATTACAAGAAATGGGGAAGGATGCTATGTTAGAAAAATTAAAATGTTCAGGGACTAAATGATATGCCCCCATCAATATAGGATCACTAATATTTTTAATTAACAAAAGTGGGGCAAAAAATGATCCCCCAAACAATAGCGGTGATAAAATTGGCACATACTTAGCGCTATCGCTACGCATTTGGTTGCTTTTTCTGTTTCAAGGACCCCATTTTCCGTCGTGGGTTTCCTGCTTCCTTCTTCAAGTTTTCAGTCGCAGAGTTCAGGTCGGGACTTGGCTGTAGGAGACAGTGAGGACCTCCTGGGTGAGGACATCCGCACTGTTCATGGGGGCACGTTTGTGGCCTGGGCTCTCAGTGCAACATTGTGTGAGCACGTGACGTGCTGAATACACTTGCGAAGAACTCTGCTCACTTTTCAAATCAAGACCTACATCCCTTTGATAAAGGACAGACTTTTTAAACATGAATGTATTTGGATGGTTTATGCAACACGGAAGCTTTACAGAGCTCACTATACTTACAAGGACAAAGCCAGAAGCAAGAAACCTGCTTGAATCTATGACTCCTAATGCACCGAGAAGGAACAGTGCAACCCAGTTTCATCTTTCCTGACAAACAGGGTGCCTGTCTTTTAAATATCTCTATGGCTCACGGGAGAGGTCCAGTTAGTTGCACCAACATTTGAAAAGGTAATAACAACTAAATTCAATGCAAGATTCAGGAACATCTGTTTAGAATCCTTTTCACAGCAGCAAAGAAAGACAACTATATTTATTAAGGCCACTCATGCTTAAATTCACTGTTTGTCCTTTAAAAATGCAGATTTTAATCTTCCACTTGCATACACGTGGAAGGGTTTCTTCCATTGACAAAAAAAAAGGATCAATACAAGAGCTGCACATGTTTGCCAGACTTGGTCATGAGTTTCATGAAGTTATAACACTTTAATTATTTTTTTATCTTCAGAGGAAACAGTAGGAGCTTAATTCTCCTTAGTACCATGTCACTGTATGTAAAAGACCTCAAAATTTGGTCTCTTTCCCTGGCATGTGCTTTAAATAATGACTGTACCCAAAAACATGTTGTGTAGAGCTATATACAGATACACAGCTTTTGTGATTATTTCTCATTCATCAATGTTCTCATGTTTGATGCTGAAAATGCTTTGGAATCCATGTTGGAGACTTTTTTTTTTTTGAAAAGTTGAGAAATGACCCTTCATTTACAGAAGATCTAAGCTTACACTGTTTGCACAGCATTTGGATCTTGAAATGTGAATGAGTCCCAGCTTCTTCATGGAGACCCTCCTGTACGGGAATAGTAAGAGCCTGAGGCTCGGCCACACCCCGGCCACGGGATGCGGGGAACACGGCATAGGAATGTGCAGGTGCCTCAGGCTTTTGCCACTCTCCAGTACAGAGACAGGGCAGATAAGATCATGAATGACCAATTCAGATGTGCCATGCATTGTCAGAGACACACACCACATTCTCATAAGGCGATTTCTTGGCAAGTATTAGTGGTTTAAAAAATTGATTTCATTTCCAACCTGGCCCAGAGGTAACTACTGGTTACACCATCAAAATGTGGTTCTTTGAACAGCGGATTAAAGAAATAGAGGAGGGTAAAGGCTCGCCATTTTTTGGTGTTTTGGTTTCTTTGTCAAACACTCCATGCATCTTGATATACAAACACTGCCAACACCACTCACTCACAGAACTCATCCTTTTTGATAATCTAATGCATCCGGAACGACCTCTCAGATTGAACAAGCAGAAAAGCTGGAGATGAAGCTTATTGTCCAACGGAAGCTGCATCCACAGTTAAAATCCCACAGAGCTGAAATTCATCCAATGATGTTGATGTAGCAAATAAAATGTTATCAAATATTGATATTCAGAAGAGATGGTCACATTTTTAATGCCCAAATCCTGACCAAAAAAATAAAATAAAATAAAATAAAATGGAGGATCTACCCTTTTCCTCCTCTGCCACATTTTTCCTTTCCAACACATGAAACGCCATGGGATGGTGAAGGGAAGATCAGGTAGAACGGAACCGTGCTCAGTAATGGAAGGGAGACTCCTTTTCAGTCCTGATGAGCATTCCACATGGTGATGGACGGGGGCGTGAGCCGCACGGCAATGGATTATCAGAATATTGCTGCGGAGCTGCGATTTCCCTTTCGTCAGCCCTTCTGATAGCTGCAACAAGAAAGCACATCACTTAGCATCCCAGGGGCTGGCGGTGATATTGGAGACCATCCTGCCTGGGGCTCCCCACCTCCACCCCTGCACCCACCCTCCTCCACTCTCTAGGGTTGGGGTTGGTTGCGATTGGTGAGGAGAGGGGTTAGCAATGAGGAGGAAGCATATAGGAAGGATAAAGTGAACAGAAAGTTAAATGATGTCCTGCAAACACATCTGAGAAGGAGCCCCTTTCTATATACATCGCATGGAGGTCTCAGATATCTCCTGATGTGCAAAAAGAAATGGAAAGGAAACGTTCCAGTGATTATTTCAATGTGATCAAATTATGTGCCAATTTTTCTCTCTCTACACATGTCTACAATGAGTATGGTTTTTTGGTTATTTTTTTTTTAATGAGACTTTATAGAGATTAGAGAGTTAAAGATGGTCAAGACCCCAGAAAATGTAATATTCACTTACAAACCATGTGCAACCATTTAAAAGAACACGGGACTCAGAGATTCCGCATCGAGGGATAGACCCGGAACCGATACACCAATGTTCATAGCAGCATTATTCACAGAAGGTGGAAACAACTTCCAGTGCCCGTCAACAGGTGAATGGCTACACAGAAAGTGGTAATATGCAATATCATTCAGCCCTAAGAGGAAAAGAAGTTCTGGCACATGCTACAACATGGATGAACCCTGAACACATGCTAAGTGAAATAAGCCAGCACCAAAGGACAGATACTGTATGATTCTACTTACATGAACTATCTGGAAGAGACAAAGTCACAGATGCAGAAAATAGATGAGAGGGCCCCAGGGGCTCCAGGGGAGGGGCAGGAGGGGCTGTTGCTGAGTGGGTACAGGTTTTCTGTTTGGGGTCATAAGCAAGTGCTGGAGAGGGATGGTAGCGTTGGTTGTACAACTCGGCATATGTACTTAATGCTACTGAATTGCTTACTTTCAATTGGTTAAAATGGTAAATTTTATGTATATTTTACCACAATAAAAATATATTTTAGAGAAGAATATTGAGCCTGGCCGGCGTGGCTCAGTGGTTGAGTGTTGACCTATGAACCAGGAGGTCACGGTTTGATCCCCACTCAGGGTACATGCCCAGGTTGTGGAATCGATCCCCAGTGTGAGGTGTGCAGGAGGCAGCCAATCAATGATTTTGTCTCTCCCTTTCCCTTACTTTCTGAAATCAATAAAAAAAATATTTCTTAAAAAGCATATTGACATCTCCTTAAATAGAGCAGAATGTGGCACAGTTGGCTTTCATCCCCACATCTCAAGGCCTGTGTGTAAGCTTAAACCCAGCCCTAATACCACCGGCCACCATGCATTGGCACCGCTCATGCCCTGGGAGCAGGGATCCAGAGAACCTTAACTTTTCTCACTGTCCACAGGAGAAGCCCTGAGTGTGGGATACACTGCAGCTGGGGAAGAAGCAGCGCAGCGGGGAGAGGAGAGGACCATCCCACATGGACCCTTCAGATGATGGCTTTCTTCCCCGCTGATGCTCAGCTTTGTGTGCCTGCCTCATTATCATTCACATATGGCCTTTGAATACTTCGGGAGTTTCCGGGCATATGGCAATAGTGCAGCTATCTGGGGAATATGGCGGGGCGGGGAAAGATCAAACAGGCGCACACACTCACACACGTGTGAGCCATTCTTTATACGCAGCCTGAGCTGTCTGATTTGGTGGTGGATGCGCAGCGCTTCTCAGGCCACACTGACTAATGAGCTCACCAAAGATGCCCGTGTCCGCCCAGGTAGGCCGCTATCCCAAGCCAGCATTAAACGGTGCTAATGAAGTATGTGGCTTGGATGAACTCTGCTCATTCAGACTCTGAGGAGTTTGGTGTAACCCTTCTGGTTAAGAAACTTGAATCAGAGAAAAAAAAATGACTTTTGCAGAGCCAGAAAGCTAGGGAGTTCCTACAGCAGATCATATTACTCATTCTGGCACATAAAGTCTCTGCAAACTCCGTATGAACATTGTAAGTCAGAGCACGCTTTCTGCTCCATGAGCTGTGCATAGCTCTAATTCTTTTGTGCATTAAGCATTTCTTAATCATCCTTTTAAAAGGCTGACCAATACATTAAAAGGACAGGTGATTAAGAGGTAAAGAGAAACCCGAAGTAGTACGAAAATGCACCGGTCGTATTTAACTGACGGGAAAATGAGTAAAAAATAATTACAGTGAATGTCTGATGTCCTTGATGTTTTTCCAAGATAAAGTAGCAAAGAACAATCATTTATTCAGTTGAGAGAAAGATGTCCAGCTGGGTAACAGGTCACAAGGCAAGACACAGTGCCTTGCAACGGCGGTGCAGTGTTTGGGGTGCGGCTTGTGCTGCAGAAAAGAGGAGTCTCCAACAGAGTTGCCCCTCCTTCAATCAGACAACCCGTTCGCCAGGAGGCCTAATGGATTTGAGAAAAAAAGCTCCAGTGATGTCGCCAGCAGCGAGACATGCAGATGATCCTTGGTTGAGGGACAAACTTGCATATGCTTTAAAAAAATGTTAAAAGGAGGTGAGCTGGGCAGCCACCCACTGTGAGGCAAGCTCTGGCCGGACCTCCCTCACCTGGAGGGCCACACAGGCCCAACCTGTCCCCACGCATCCTCTTCTGCAGCGCCCAACTCTGCATTCTCCTCGGTGCAGCCAGCGGTGCTATTTCCAGGATGGCACCGACTTCATCCTCATCCCAGGTTTACCGCCCTCATTTCCAATCCCGTTGCCTCAGGATGGAGGATGGAGGGTGGACTTGGACCATGCAGCCCAGGGCCACCTGGCCCCTCTCTCTCCAGCGCCACCTCCATGTCCCACCTCTGCTGAACCTGCATCTGCAGGCCTAACGCTTCCCTTTCTCCAACCTCACAATCTTTCCTTTCTGTCTGACATGCATTGACACCACCCCTTGACCCGACCCACTCCTACTTTTGCGTCCATCTCAGTTTAGATGTCGCGTCTTCCTTGGAGGCCTTTCCTGACCCTCGTGAGTGTAGGATGCCGCTCGGGAAGTCTCGCACATACTGCACTGTCCCCTTTTGGTGACTTGTCCAGGTTTTTATTGACCAACATGACAGCCACTGGCCACAGGCAGCAACTCCACCCTTGGCACATGGCTAGTCCACATGGAGATGTGCTGTAAGTGTAAGATCACACAGGGTTTTGAAGATTCAATAGGAAATTAGTTTTTCATATTGATTTTGAATGAATATAAATCAACAAATTAAATTTTAGCTTTAGTCTGAAGGTCATTTTTTGTGTCAATTTTGTGTTAAATGGCATTTTGGATATACTGGATCAAAGTAAATATGTCATTATAATTAATTGTACCCCTTTTTACTCTTGTTCATGTGGCTGTTGTTCTGTGGCTCAGACGTGGCTTGCATTATATTTCTATTGACAACACTGGTCTGGGCTTGACAAGGGCCAGGGCAGGCCAGCCTCGCTCAGTTAGGGTCCCCTGTGCCTCGCACAGTTCATGGACCGGAACGAGCTGATTCCCTCTTCCCCACGTATCAGAGAGCACCTAGAGAGGGCAGAATCCTCACATCACCTCCTGGCCAAAGACTTCCTGCTCTTTCCCTGGCATCCGGACTGTGAACATCCCATACCAGGATCATGCCACCTGACAAATGTAATTAAGGCTACTAATCACTTGTCTAATCAAAAGAGAGGTGACCTGCCCGATTATGGCTTTCTTCTCCTGGCCATTCAGGAGTGATTTGCAGAAACATGCTGGGAGGAAGGGTCTTTGGTAAACACGGAGGGGTTAGAGGGGGAACTGTTTAATCACAGGAGCCATGTAATAGCAGAGACATTTCTCTCGTTGGTAGCAGAAGGCAAAGTCAGAGACTTTCCTGGAGGGACTTGCTGTGCTGAGATGGAGGGAGCCACAAGGCAAGAACTGGAGCGTGTACTGCAGGAGCCGAGGGCAGCCCCCAGCCCATAGCCAGGGAGAAAACAGGACCTCAGTCCCACCACCACAAGGAACTGAGTTCTGCCAACAACCTGAATGGGCGTGGAGGCGGGTGCTTTCCTGGAGCCTCCAGGTTCAAGTCCACCTGGCCAACACCTTGACTTTCACCTTATGAGACGATGGAGACAACCAGGGGAGCCTGGCTGGTCTTCTGACCAACAGGACTGTCAGATAATCCATGGACGTTCTTTTAAGCCACTGATTTTATGGTGATTTTGTTATGCAGCAGTAAAAAGCTAACATAGCTCTTCACTGTATCAGACAATGCGCGTGGTGCCAGGGATATAATGGTAAAAAAGACGAAATCTCTGCCCCCATGGAGCCTGTATTTTCGGGAGGAAGATAGACAACAAATAGATGCACAGATAAATAAAAGCACGAGGATTTCAAAAATTTGTGACTTGAAGGAAATGAAGAGAGAGCTGTGATAGAGATGCTTAGGATTTACTCAGCGACCACATGACAATTATGAGGTAGATATCTATTTCATTATATGGAGAGAAAGCCACCTTTATTTCAGTGAAAAGAGCAGATTACAATTCTACTTGTATAATTCAATCTTGCTTTTGCATCAACACACACATAAACACTTGCAAGTGTAGGTAGCAGGGTATTGTTAATAGTGGTCTCTGGGTGGTGTTTTTTAAATGTTCTTCTTTACATTGTTATTGTTGTTGTTGCACTGTTTGGCTATTTTAAACCAAAGAATGTGTAACTGGTGTCACAGGAAAATAGAAAGCTATTTCCATTGTGAAAAAGCCTGACTTGGTTCTTCGGAAGGGAGCCCTGCAGTTGGTGTTCCGGGTGGGGGTATGTGTGGGGGGTGGGGTGCGTGTGGGGGTGAGGGGGCATGTGGGTGTAGGGTTGCATGTGGGTGTGGGGGTGCGTGTGGGGGTGAGCTGAGCAGAGCAGTGAGATTCCACCCCCGGGACCAGCGCCCCCAGGAGAGCAGGCTATAAATGTGTGGTGTCTCACAAATATGCCTTCAGACTGTTTTTCTTTGGAATAAA